TCTATGGCAGGCATCCTCAGAGGTTGTGAGGTTTGTTGGAAACAAGGCAAGTGGGGTTTATATATCTGTGCAATGTCCAGAGTGGGAGAAAGAACTCTTGTCTGTTTGAGGAAAGTGTGAATGCTGCAATTGATCACCCTAATTAACACTGAATAGCCTTTGCAGCTTCCAAGCTTGGCTGCTTCCTGCCTGGGGAATCTTTTGTTGGGAGGTGATTAGTTGGCCGTGATTGGGAGGCGATTAGCTGACCTCTCAACAAAGGATTCCCCCAGGCAGGAAGCAACCAAATCTGGAAGCTGTGTGGCTATTAAGTGCTAATCAAGGTGCTCAATCGCAAGGTTCACACTTGCCTCAAACAGACAAAGAGTTCTTTCTCCCACCCTGGACATTGTTCCACAGATATATCAACCCCACTTGTCTAGTTTCTAACAGACCTCACAACCTTTGAGGATGTCTGCCATAGATGTAGACGAAACGTCAGGAGATAATGCTTCCGTTACATGGCATTACAGCCCCGAAAACTCACAGCAACCCAGTGATTCCGGCCATGAAAGCCTTTGACAATACAGTAATGGCCTTCTTTGCCTTTCCAGTAATTTGCCTCATTCCAAATGTACAAAGCTGCCCATGTTTAACTTACAATATTTACATTATTTCTTGCTTAACTTTCTGCCATTTAGCCAAACCATCCTCATTCCAGGAGGCATCTGGTTTGAGAGGTATTGTTTTATACACTTGCTTTACTTACAAAATACATATCTTTTTATCACATTTAGTTGCGCCTCTTTACTTCAGTTTTGCAGCTATTTTTACCTGCTGTGAAAGGAAGGAGCACAACATGCTGAGTTTGTCCTTTTTTAAGAAAAGGAAGAATAAATGAATACCTTTCTCTGGGAAGGGTAGTTCTGGAAGATCTCAATGATATGGTACAAAGAACCTGAGATACATACAAAACACACTCAGAAAGCAAACATGTAGAAAAATTAATAATAATCCAATAGTTCACAGACATGAGCCACATCAACAGAACAGGAGGGAAATCGTGCATTCTTGCTCATTTAAAAATAATCTATTGTAGAACTACTTGATTCAAGGGCCTTTCTTGTACCTCTTCTCATAAGTTCCATACATTCAAACACTGATCGTGTCCTTCATCCTTCCTCCCTTAGCACTTGGACCCCAGGAGACATATACAATCTTTCCTGGTATTCTTTCCTGGGATCCCAAAAGACAATCTCCACCTTATATCCTCGTTTTGTCTTTCTAGTCACTTTTTTGCTTCAATTTTTGAGAGAACTGAGCCAAGTTAGAACTGATTTTGTAAAAATCATAAAGTGTTCTACTAGCACTCTCTTCCATCGGTTACTTTAGAATAGTGGTCCTCAACCTGTGGGTCCCCAGATGTTTTGGCCTTCAACTCCCAGAAATCCTAACAGCTGTTTTTTTTTAATCGTGTCAGGAGTAACTTGAGTAACTGCAAGTCGCTTCTGGTATGAGAGAATTGGCCGTCTGCAAGGACATTGCCCAGGAACGCCCGGATGATTTGATGTTTTTATCATCCTTGTGGGAGGCTTCTCTCATGTCCCCGCATGAGGAGCTGGAGCTGATAGAGGGAGCAAATCCGTTTCTCCCCGGATTCGAACCTGCGACCTGTCGGTCTTCAGTCCTGCCAGCACAGGGGTTTAACCCACTGTGCCACTGGGGGCTGGTAAACTGGCTGGGATTTCTAGGCCAAAATACCTGGGGAGTCACAGGTTGAGAACCACTGCAAGATGGTCCCCAAACTACTCACATAAGCAACCCAAGGATCGGCTCAAAACAAAACATTAATTTGCAGTCCATTTCTCCTAACGAAATCCACCTTTTTATTTACACTTTAGCTGCCCTTATTTTAGGAATATACATAAGGCAAGTACAATAGATTTTTCTCTCCCCAGTGGGTTAAAAAAACACTATTAGGTTTATACTTCATAAAAATACTCAATACTTCAAAGAAACTGGTATTTTTTAATATGTAATGACTTGCAAGTCAATGGTTTGATCACACACTGGGAAAGCTCGGTCTTTAGAGATGATGAATGTTTATGCAATCTTCCACAAAATATAACACAATAAAATGCAGACAATGAGCTTCTATTTTATGGGCTTTAGACTTCATTTTGATAATATTCCCTGAGACAAAAGGCTAAAAATACATTGATAGGATTTCCACTGCATGCTTGAAGACTGGGAATATTATGTGGGTGTCTGTAGGACAACTTTATCCAACGAGTTGCACAGAATGGTGTCCCCTCAATTCAACTTTGTGCAAGGCTGCCAACACTTGAACCAGACCTGAAAGCCCTATATGATCAGGAAAAATAAACACAAGATGGCATGCCTATACCAGCCTTCTCAAGATGCCTTCCAATGTAACTAGGCAGCTGAGGGATTCTGGGAGTTGCAATCCCAACAGATCTTGGGGAACTGCAAGCTAACCCAAAGACAGTGAGCTTTTGGTACCCGCTGGAGCTGTTTTCCATGACCCTCCATGGATCCCAAAATCTGTGAATGCTCAAGTTCCATTACATATGATGATATAATGAAACAATGTCCCTTACACAAAACTGGTGAACAAGTTCAACGAGAGCCCGAAGATCTGTGAAATGGTGGAAGGCTACAACAGGGTATGCTTATGCATCAGCATAGTAATTAATTGGCATGCGGCAAAATCAAGGTGGATCATTTTTGGATTTTTTTTAACGTTTTCACACCATGGTTGTTTCAATACGTAGATGAACTCGTGGATAGGTGCTACAGTCATGATCAATGACTTTTCGGCAAAATCAAGATGGTTTTTTTTAACATTTTCACACCATGGTTGTTTCAATACGTAGATGAACTCGTGGACAGGTGCTACAGCCATGATCAATGACTTTTTGAGTGCTCAGGAAAACTCTAGCAATGACATTATTTTGCAGTGGATATATACTAAGGACATACATCCATTATGAGATTTGATTCTTTGTGTGGGTTCCAAATCTATGACTTTCACCGACTGACAATTGGCACCTCCTATGAAATGGTGGCGACATGAATTCAGACACGCTGAATTGCCTCCATTTAAGAATATGGGGCATGATAGCCATTTTTCATGAAATCATTGCCCCACTGTACACACATGCATGCACACCCATACATACACTTATGTAACAGCATACAAAACGAGACCTTAACCCTCTCTGTTAAAGCGAAGGAACCTTGTCACCTCCTTTTCCTTCTAAACACCTCTGCAAGCCACAAAACGGCCTTTTGGTTCACATAAATAGTAGAACTACATTCAAGTAATAACTTCTAAGCAACCAGGCAGCTTTATGGGGAAAACAACCTGACAGGATGGTGCAAAATGGCATGCAGAAAATCTGCTAATGAATTTCCAAAAAGATGGGAGAAAATAAAGGATGAAAAAAAAACCTCCTTCATTAAAGATATAACGTTGGTATTATTTTGTAAGCAATCACAGATTACTTTCTGGAAGAACATCACAAGGGCACATCCATGTTGTATCAAAATGAGTTATTTGCACAATTTGCTCAATCCTGCAAGCTGTATCCAGTTCATGGAATAAGCTTTGGACAATTTGCATGGATGGTGCAGTACAATGAACTGCTTCTCGTTCCAAACAGACATCCTTTGAGAGCAAAAATGTTGTATCAGCTGACACCGCAATGTTTGCTGAAGGGGATCATTAACCATAAAGAGAACACTGAACTTTCTTGGTCTATGGCGGTGGCTCTCAACCTGGGGTCCCCAGATGTTTTTAGCCTTCAACTCCCAGAAATGCTAACAGCTGGTAAACTGGCTGGGATTTCTGGGAGTTATAGGCCAAAAACATCTGGGGATCCCAGATTGAGAACCACTGGTCTATGGGAACACAGCAAAGTAATCAGATACAGTAGAGTCTCACTTATCCAACATAAATGGGCCAGCAGAACTTCGGATAAATGAAAATGTTGGATAATACGGAGTCTCCTACTGTTACCCGTCCAACGTGGCGCTAGATATCTAGAATACTAACAGGGATTCAAAGGGTTAAAGCAAGGCAATGTCTCGGGGCTGGAGCGACCCAGCAGGAAGTGTCCGGATGTGGAAGACTAGTGTGGAAATCACAGAAGGAAGGAGGGAGACGCTTCTGCTTCTGGTCCTGCCTCTTTTCCCCTTTTCCTACCTCCTCCTCCTCCTCATCCCTTTTTCACGTATTGGGAATGGAGAGAGAGTTGGGGAGCACTCCTTGAATTGAAAGGGAAATGCTGGAGGAAAAGGAGGGGTGTCGGATAAGAACGTCAGATAAGACGGAATGTTGGATAAGCGAAGGTCGGATGAGCGAGACTCTACCATAGTGTGTTTACACACCCATGCAACACACTGGAGAGGCTTTGTTCCTTTCATGACATACAGTGGGGCCTCCACATCCACTGGAGTTAGGGGCACGTATTTCCATGAAAGTAAAAAACCTCAAATGAAGAAATAGCGCCTCCCCTCCCAAATGTCTAAGACCTCCAGCATGACTTTATGGACAACTTCGGCTGGAAGCCAGCCATAGAATCACATTGGAGGACCTAAATATTCCTTTAATCAAATCCATACAATTCAATCCTGCAAAAATGGAGGCCTAAAGTACTGGGTCAAAGGAAGCAAACAAAAAAAGACCTTCAAGAGCAAGATTCAGATCACCACCCATTGTCTTAACTGTGCTGGAGAATCAGCTACACCGACCTATTGACTCTTAACACAATCCTTCCCATCCTAGATTTGTGGTTCCTTGGATGAAGTCTATGCAGAATATTCGATGTGGCCACTGGACACAGGCAAAACCTCATTCCTTGTACAGAATGCATCTGAAATGCAGCCTAAACACTTAATGCTTCCTTTAGATTTTTTTTATTAAAACGCACACACGCACACACACACTTCCTAGAGTGCAAAATGCTCATTAAGTATTTTAGCAACAGAATGCCACATTGGAGGGGTTGTTGTTGTTGTTATTTTACCTTCTCTAAAATAATCTGCTTCTTTCATTATTGACCTTTGCTTGCCACCCCTCTGAAGCATCCATTGCCGGCAACAGATGCAAACGCAAAGGAGCCGACAGCCTGCCTGAACCTTGCTGAGTTTTGCAGTCAAGTCCCCGGGAAGCTTCACTCCCAGTCTGCCGTTTTTCACTTGTAAAGGCTCATCGTGGGGCTCTGATACATGCACATGTAAGCATCGCAAAGCAGTCTCCGTGCACAGCCTTGAATTCTCCTCGAGTCCAACGAATGCAGCTCCTCGACAGACATTTTGAGGTACTCGCCAACTTCTGGGCAAGGAGTCACTTGAGGGATGTTAAAGCCATTCTGGCCTCCTTTTTGGAAAGGGAGGAAGAGAAGGCAGAGGAAACATTAACCCAGAAGGAAGAATTCGTCACTCCCTAGCAATATTTCACAAGTTATTGAATTTTAAAAAATTGTATCTGGGCATAAAAGGCTTTGAAGTGCACATTTTTATTATTATTATTTGAAACACAACTAAATTAGTACGCAGCAAACAAGACCACTACGCTGGTTGTTGTATTGGATCACACGCCGGACACTTCCCAAGTGTCTAGGACTGTGTGATGTATCAGCAAATAATGCATGAAGATCCCAGTAGGGTGGCATTTTGCAGCTGATAGATGGTAAAATAATAATAATAATAATAATAATAATAATAGTTATTGATACCATATTGTTTTTGTTGACCCTACTTTTCCACTTACAGAGCTAGTTTACTTTTTTATTGTTTACAGAGTTTACTTGTTTGTTTACAGAGCTAGTTTACTTTTAGTTTATTGTTTTTGTTGACCCTACTTTTCCATTTACAGTTAGTTTTTCTTCGAGATACAATAATATTCAAATACATTTAATCTACTGATGCCTCAATTAATGTAATTTCATTGGTATCTATTTTTATTTTGAAATTTGCCAGTAGTTGTTGCATTTCCCACCCTTGACCTGTACTCAAATCAATACGTTTTCCCAGTTTTTGTGGTAAAATTAGGTGCCTCGGCCTATATTCGGGTCTGCTTATACTCGAGTATATACAGTACTTACGGTAAATTTTTGTACATACCACACTCTACTCAGCTATTTTCTACTAACTGGAAAGGATAATCCAATTTAAGTGCTATCCTAGTACTTAAGGCATTTCAATGCATGAGGAAAATACAAAAAAAAAAAAGAGAGAGAGAGAAATAGTGCATGACAATACATACCATCCCGGTCAGCCATGCTATCAAAGAAAAGCCAGGCCGAGTCCCCTTTGCCATATTTAACGAAAGCCACATAGTGGCTTGTCTCTATACAAAGGACAGCAAACAACTCCATCTTCTGGCAAGGGATGCAGCCATGTCTCCAGTCCCAGTCTGGAAGATCTTTTGGAAGAGATACCGGGTTAAATTTATGACTCTGTCTCCGGGGATGAAGATGAACCTAGAAATTGATGAAAAGTTTTAGAATATGCTTTTGGTAAGGTTAGACAAACCCTTCTGTCTTTTGCAGGCATGCAATTTTTTTTTTCACAATCCACCCCATAAGACAGCATCTGCCATTGAACTGGAAGTAGTCTCGACACCATTGAGGCCTCATGTAAGCCGCCCCGAGTCCCCATCGGGGAGATGGTGGCGGTGTACAAATAAAGATTATTATTATTATTATTATTATTATTATTATCGTCATTCCAGCAAGATGACTGGGAACTTACTTGGGTATTGCAAGTTTTACAAAACTGCTTGATCTTGCCTGCAGAAATTTCTGTGTCTTCATAGCACTCTCGGCATTCATACATTGCAAGTCCTCCACATATGCGGCACTGCCGAGGAGCTGTATTTTGTAAGAGGAGACATGCCCATGTATCAAGAGTGTGCATGATAACAAAAAATACAAATTTGAATCTCCATAAAATGTGTGAAATGGGACGTTCTGGCAAATCCATACAATTTCTGAGTTCACTGAAGGTGGGAACACAGTCAGGAAAAATAGATTCAGATTTGTTTTTATACATGTCACATTGATCTTCGCAGAGAAAGTAAAGGGGAAAGGTGTCATATGGTGATGATTGGGTCACATCTGAAGCCTCTCCTTCTTAATCAATTCTTCTAATATTTCAGAGTTTCATATCATATTTCTCCTTCCAAATGCCTACTGAAATATCATTCCCATATGTCACAGCACATCTATTCTTGTACTTAATAATTCTTTTTTATGCATAGCAGTCCAACAACACCAGCCCAAGGGACAAAACCGCCACATCATTGCAAATAATATTTTGTACTCACTGTCTTCTAACAGATCTGTGATATTTAATTCCAAGGAAGGAAAGATTTTGTTGAACATTTTGAAGTCTTTCCCAAACCGAGGCATCTGAATGATGAGACATGAGGGTGCCTAGCAAAAGGCAATAAGAAATTGCGCTTGGGTTTCAGACAAATTGCAAACTCATTTGTAGTTTCATCAACATCCCACTTAATACGCTGTTCAACAACATTTTATTATGGCTCAAAGACCCTTATGCATTGTAGATGTACAAGATATGCCGGTAATGAGATTAAGATATTGATATTGTACTGATATTGTACTATGATAATAATATAATATATTGTATGTTTATATATCTTGTAAGCCACTCTGAGTCCCCTTCGGGGTGAGAAGGGTGGCATATAAAAGTTGTAAATAAAATAAAATAAATAAATAAATAAATAAATAAAACCAGAACTTTAGATCTCATGTAGTTGATTTTTAGGTCGTTCTGGGAAGAGCAGTTCAGGAATTTCCTTAGTAAGCAATTTAGACCTGCCTTGGGGCGTGAATCACAAAATGCTGTTGAATCACAACTGGCAAAAACCGTGAAAACAAGAATATGCACCAAACCTCGGCAAATTTCAAATTGCTGTTGATGAACGACCATTCCAGTAACTGCTGTATCGTAGGCACACCAACTTTGTCATTCTTGTCCATAAAAATCTGGTAGAAGTAGCAGTCTTGAACCTTTTGACCTGCTGATCTAAGAAGACAGTGTATTTTTTTAAAGGCCATAGTCAATATTATTAGAATTAATACTTCTCAAAAGAGAATACTGAACTGGATCATTGCACTGGTTACAGTTGTATGTTTCCAAAAGTTTTTGTGGGGAAACAACTAGGAAGGCTGCAAAGCAATTAAATAAACTTTTTAAAATACTACATTTTTAACCATCTTTCATATTTACAAACAATTGGCAATGCTTGCTACATTTGATGGACGCTGAAGACAGTACAGGGCTGTTGGATGATCAGACAACCTCTTACTCTATACATAACAATATATTCAGGAACACAAGAAATTACCATATATACTCAAGTATAAGCTGAGTTTTTCAGCTCTTTTTTAAGGCTGATAAAGCCCCCTTCAGCTTATACTCAAGTCAAGGTTATTTATTATTTAAGTCTTGTTGTTGTTACATTTATTATTTTACTCTATTTATTACTATTATTATATTTACATCATTTTACTCTATAATTTTATTACATTTCTTGTTTTACTCTATTATTGTTATTTATTTACTTACTTGCTATATTTATATACCGTTTCTCTCAGCCCGCAGGCGACTCGGGGCAATTTACAGTTGGTGCCAAGACCATAAAATAAAATTCAATATAATAAAAACAATCGAGTTATAAAACATAACAAAATCAGTAAAAACATGAACATGGTTATTATAATATTTATTATTTTACTTTATTATTATTATTACATTTTTATTATTTTACTCTATTATTATTTTTATTACATTTATTATTTTACTCTATTATTATTGGAAGGATACCTAAGCACATTTACATTGAAGAAGGTTAGAATAATTGTTTAATCAGAGTTGGACAGGCTTATCCTACAGTTTTACGTAAATATTCAAAATATTTAACCTACTTATGCCCCAATTAATGTAATTTTATTAGTATCTATTTTTATTTTAAAATTGACCAGTAGCTGCTGCATTTCCCATCCTCTGTTTATACTCGAGTCAATACGTTTTTCCAGTTTTTTGTAGTAAATTAGGTGCCTCGGCTTATACTCAAGTATATACAGTAGCAGCTTTATTTACATACTTTTAGCTACTCAATTTTACAAAAGTCACTGCCTAACAACAGTTAATACTTATTGCTAAACCATAATTAACACTTTTTCTGGAAACCAAGGAAAGGAACATCTCCACAGAAGAGATTAGAAAGTAAAAGAAAGGCAAATCCAAAACAACACAAAAAGGGCATGCTGGAAAGTTACATTAACTGAGTTTTATTATGTTACCCAAATATCTCCATAAACCACAAACTGGAAAAGTATATACTGGAAGAAAAGGGAAGAATTTACCTTATTTTTAACAGTGGTTCTACTCTCAAAATGTGATGAAACAAAATGTTCAAAAATTCTTCTGGATCTGTGAAAAAAAGTAGTGTTAAATCAGAGTATGCAAGCAGAAACAAATGAAATATTTTGTGCCTTTCCTATCTGCAGTGGATAGTCAGATGAGTTATATAATCTTATGGGGGAAGGCAATGCCATGAAAGCAGCCTCAATGTTTTTGCTCAATCCTATTATTTGGAGCCTGCCATGGCAAGTGGGTTAAACCACTGAGCTGATTGAAATGTCATAGGTACAAATCCGGAGAGCGGGGTGAGCTCCTGCTGTTACCCCCAGCTTCTGCCAACTTAGCAGTTTGAAAACATGCAAATGTGAATAGATCAATAGGTACTGCTCCGGCAGGAAGGTAACAGCGCTCCATGCAGTCATGTTGGCCACATGACCTTGGAGGTGTCTATGAACAACGCCAGCTCTTCAGTTAGAAATGGAAATGACCACCAACCCCCAACTGGACTTAATGGAAGGGAAAACCTTTACCTATCTATTTGTATTTTATAATCGCTTTAAGGAGAACCTAAATTTGGTTAGCATGACAGATCTTTGCAGCTGTGGTATTTTATCCTCCACCAAGCAAAGAATTGGCCATTGCGGCCACTAATCTATTCAAAGCAAGACCTACATCATCCCATTTCAGTATCTGCTTTATTCATTCATTCAATTATTTATTTATTTGCAGTATTTACATTCCGCCCTTCTCACCCCGCAGGGTGGAATACAATGTACGTATACAAGGCAAACATTCAATCCCATAGGCACACGACATATAGACAGACACACAGAGGCTATTTAACATTCCACCTTTTCATGAGGGGATTCTGGCCACCAGGGGAGCTGTCGCTTCACCGTCCATTTGTGACACTGATGAAGTACTTCCTCATTCTTTGCATGCTTGCTGGAGATTTTTATGGTGTTATAAATTTAGTTAAATTAGCCTCCCCGCATAAGCGGTACCTAAATTTCCTACTTGAAAGATGCAACTGTCTTTCAGGTTGTAAAGGTCGACAACAAGCTACACAAATTGGTCGGAAGCTCACTGGCTTCGAACTCATGACCTTTTGGTCAGTAGTAATCTTAATGCAGCTGACTCCCAGCCAGCTGCGCCACAGTCCCGGCCTTCTAGAATTTATATTTCTAAAGTAATGCCCTTCTCCCCTTCCTTTTCTTCTCATGGTCAACAGCAGAGAGTTCACATTACCTTTCTCTTCAGAGGTAAATCCTGATGCTGCTTCAACTTTCTCCAAGATTTTCCTCAACTTCATGATTTTTGTTGCACACACGTATCCGTATCTAGAACATAAAAATGAGCAGACTGCAGAGAGATAAAGGGAGACACCGGGAATTCAGGGAATGCAGACTTCAAGCCCATGCAGAGATAGACCACCTGGCAGGCATCTGTGCAGAAGTCATTGATACTGTGTATATGTTTAACTGTTAGAATATATTTGTTTGGTAACAGTAGCTGAAGCTAGAGCTAACTGGTTGTATCCACAGTGGCGTTGCCAAGGAGACCAGGAAGGAGAGAGAGAAAAGTGGGAGGAGCCTAGCAAGAGAATGTTATCAGCGTCTTTGAAAAGAAGCAGTTCAGTTGTGAGTTAGCAGTCGGAGTTAGCAGTTGAGAGAAGAGAGTGGAGAGTGGAGAAGCAGTATGTGTGAATAGCCAGAGGTTTCTTCAGTCTAGGAAGGCTGAAGGGGGAAACCTAGTTAGTTTCATTAGTCAGAGAGGACTAAGGGAAGCTTGCTTAGATCACTAGTTAGGAAAGAACTAGAGATCTAGGATTTGATCAAGAAAGGATCGAATTAGTAGGCTATTCACATTAGGAAACATTGTTAATAAAGTGCTTCACTACAGTAAAAGTCTATCACAAGTTGTATCATCGAGAAGAGTGAACTGTATTGCAAACCAAGTTACATTCCAAGTTCTATAAGTTATTCAAAGTTATTCCAAGTCATTTAACAGCCTGCAACCATACGCTTTGTACAAAATAAACTTATTAACTTTTGTTGAAGATCGTGTCATCTCCATTTATCTGCGTCTGGGGAGCCAGCTCTCATCGGCAATACCTCACGTTGGTGGCAGTTACCTTAATTACATCTATAATCATCCACACCTGTATAATTGGTGGCAGAATTTAAGAACAGTCTTTGCAATTGGTGACAGAGGGTGGGTTCTTTAAAGTTAAAAACCCTATACCCTGTCTGTTGTTGGAATTGCAGCACCTTAGCAATTGGCACAATTGTACAACTGGTGCGTGCAGACTTCGCAAATTGGTGGCAGTAATTTTACGCACCTTCGCAGCATCAATACTCACCTGAAGCTGCTAAAACAGCTACACCTAGAGGCACACTGCAAGGTAATAACTGCTAGCAGCAAACATAGAAGATAATTCAAAACAAGCACAAACATATATATGGCTATACTTACATTCTGAGAGGATTGACTATTTCTGTCCGCAGGAGCGCTTGAGTTTCGCTATAATATTCTACATCATTTTTCTCTTTCGGTCTAAGCAAGACAGTGTCCAAAACAGAGCTAAAGGCAAACAGGCTGAAAGAGCAAAGATGTTAATTTCAATCAGGAAAAGCAGCCAATAATAATAATAATAATAATAATAATAATAATAATAATAATGATGGGGGAGGGGGGTTAAGTCAATAAACAAGTAGCAACCAGGAATATAGCTGGACTGTAACATAGACTTGCTTTCCATTGCTAGTGGAAAGTGGCTTTTAAAAACTTTTATTATTCCTGTTTTTGTACACTTAGATCATTTCCCCCTCAAGCTGAAATTCAAAACAAGGCTCCAAATCCCTACCAGAATAAAGTGGAGTCTAAGTAGCAGGAGTTGTAATGGCCCTGAATTCCTTTCTTCTTTCCAATCATTGTTTCCAAGCCTTCTTTTTCCATTTTTGGAGGGGTGTTTTCTTCAACCACTTCACTTAGATAACCTCCAAAAGCTTATCAATAATAGTAGAAAGAAAGAAAGAATGAATTTAGGGGGCATATATCAGTGTGGGAACTTCATTACTGATCCAAATGTTGTATGGCTATGAGAAATTCAAAAGCAAAGCTTGTGTCAATAAGCATAAGTTGCTCAGAGTTCATATTTCTCTACACACACACACACACACACACACACAAGTAGTAAAAATAAAAGCAATTTTAACAAGTTGGGTGGCACTGTAAGCACCATTTCCATTATAGTCTTATTTAAAATCCATAAACAAGCTGTTTTGGTAAAACAGATGGCCAATATTTTCATGAATTTATCACTAATAATTTTAACCAGCTTTCTAAAAAATCCTTTTAAGATATTAACCATGACTATTTGAATCTCTGCTGTGAAATAGTACATTAATATTACATTATTTATTGATTGATTTACCTCATTTATATCCCACCCTTCTCACCCTGGAGGGGACTCAGGGAGGATTACAACAAAGGCACAATTCAATGCCTTGAATACATACAAAAACAAAACAACATATAATTTAAAATCACATAGTTAAAAACAAATCAATTAAACAATTACTTAAAATCATGCAATCTAAAAAACATATACCAGGATTCATTCCAGTTGTCATTTGTATTGTTCGTTATTGCACTAAAACTTCAATTGTTGCACTAGGAATCATTGTGAAAACGCTTGGTCCCACAACCAGGATTTAATTTTCTTCCTGAAGGTCAGGAGGGATGGTTCTGTTCTAATTTCCTTGGGAAAGGAGTTCCACAGCCGAGGGGCCACCACCGAGAAGGTCTTGTCTCTCCTTCCCACCAGTCACACTTGAGAGCGAGGTGGGATTGAGAGAAGGGCCTCTCCGGACCATCTTAACCTCTGAGATGGTTCATAAAGGGAGATACATTTGGACAGGTAAGCTGGGCCAGAACCGCTTAGGGGTTTATAGGCTAAAGCCAGAACTTTGAATTGTGCTTGGTAGCAAGCTGGCAGCCAATGCATCCGGCATAGCATGGGAGTTGTGTGCTCCCTGTACCCTGCTCCAGTTAGAAACCTGGCTGCCGTCCGCTGGACTATGTGAAGCTTCCGAACTGTCCCCAAAGGCAACCCCATGTAGAGCGCGTTGCAGTAATCTATTTGAGATGTAACAAAAGTATGGACTACCATGGTTAAATCTGACTTACCAAGGTACAGGCGCAGCCCCTGGCCACCGCTGAAATCTGGGGTCCCAAACTCAGTGATGAATCCAAGAGAATTCCCAAGCTGTGAACTTACGTCTTCAGGGAGAGTGAAACCCCATCCAACACAGGCTGTCTTGTCTGGATTCAATTTCAATTTGTTCTCCCTCATCCAGACCATCACAGCTGCCAAGCACAGGTTTAAGACCTGAACAGCCTCCTTAGCAGTAGGTGGAAAGGAGTGATAGAGTTGTATGTTATCTGCAGACAGATGACATCGAACTCCAAAACTCCAAATGATCTCTCCCAGTGGCTTCACATAGATATACTATATGCATCTGACAAATAAACTGCATAGGAACTGCTTTCAATTTATTTATGACCCATTGCAATTTTAATAAGAGCATACAGAAACTATGATGAGTCTAAGACAGTACCTAAGGAGTTGCAGCGTTCAATCTGGTTGGATACAGGCTGCAATGAAGCAAATCTGGAATCTGGCCTGCAGCTTTTCAATTTAACAAACAGGGCCTTCTTGGGTGCGCAGGTAAAGTATCGGGTTCCTTTAAATGTCCCATCTGTACAACCTGCACATTCTTCTTCCTGGAAAAAGTCAAAACAGAAGGACCTGTCTTTCTAAATGAGCAACTAATACAAACAAGACATACATCAAGGGAACCACTGACCGCATAGGGAAGCTGATGAGGAAACACAAACATACAAACTATCTACAGACCCACCAAGAAAATCCAACAAATGCTACGTTCAGCAAAGGACAAGAGGGATCCTCTCACCTCTGCAGGAGTCTACCATATACCATGCTGCTGTGGACAAGTCTACATAGGGACCACCAAACGCAGCATTGCCCAAACACGAATCAAGGAACATGAAAGGCACCGCAGACTACTTCAACCAGAGAAGTCAGCCATAGCAGAGCACCTGATGAACCCAACCTGGACACAGCATATTATTTGAGAACACAGAAATGCTGGACCACTCTAACAACCACCATGTCAGACTACACAGAGAGCCACTGAAATCCACAAGCATGTGGACAATTTCAACAGAAAGGAGGAAACCATGAAAATGAACAAAATCTGGCTACCAGTATTAAAAAACTCTAAAACTACAACAGCAAAAAACCAGAGAGGAAACAATCTGGGACATCTAATCACCTCTCAACAAAAGATTGCCCCAGGCACTGCCAGGCCATCAAATGCTAATCAAGGTGGTCAGTTGGAACAGTCACACCTAGCTCCAGCAGACAAGAGTCCTTTGTCCCACTCTGGTTGTTCCATAGATATATAAACTCTTTTTTCTTAGTTTCAACAGACCTCACTATCTCTGAGGATGCTTGCCATAGATGCAGGCGAAATGTTAGGAGAGAATGCCTTTAGAACATGGCCATATAGCCCGAAAAAACCTACCACAGCCCAGTGATTCCAACCATGAAAGCCTTCGACAATACAATTAGACTAATGTCTTGGAAGTTCAGGTGACATATGCAGCAATGCTTCTGCAAAGGGCTGGCTGCAAGGTTGTGAGCATTCTCCAGTCATACAGACATTAAAAGATTTTTTGCCTAAGGTCAACTGTGGTAAATGAAGGCTGAGCAATACCAGGATTCAACAGCATATTCATCCCTATTGAGCAATTGAAATATTATCAGAAAATATCTGAATAACAGAAAGAAAAACGGGTTTATTATGCATTGAGAAACTCTTACAAGGAGAATCCTGGATATCAGAAAACTTTCAAAGCCCAGCAAGATTGTAATACAGAATATTCCAGAGTCCTGACTCATGTTCAACATTTTAAAATCTGCTTTACCTATTTTCAAATAGACGTCTAAACATATTGGAGGAAGACTAGCCAAAGCACAATGTAGTATATCTAGTTCAACAGCAGCAAGCGGGATCCAGTTTGCATCACTGCGAAGACTTTCTGGTGGTTTTGAGGCCACCAGAGCAGTTCCACAATTTCACAATTCTATGCATCTTTCCCCAGAATCTGAGTGTTACCAAGTTCAACATGGTAAAGTCCTAACCCCAAGCATACACAGTATACCTAAGACTGCAATCTTAAAATCCATCTATCTCGCCAAACACAACATTTCAGGTTCAGGTCTCATAAACAAAGAGGTTATATTAGGCTTTGAGACAGATACGCATGCAGAACCTGCTTGCAACTCTTTCGTATTATTTATTTAATCAACCTTTCAGATAAGGTATTGCTAAACTACTATTTCCAGTGGGAAAAGGTATGTCAAAGCAAGAGGAGATGCAGACTGACATTTTGACTCCACCCCCCTCCCCCAGGACAACTAGTATTTGGCTCTGACAAGGAAAGGAAGTGGTAACTTGACCTCTTATTTCAAGTCACAACAAACCTGTCTTGAGGAGATGCAGGGTAATACACATCTTTGAAATGAACAGTAATTACCAGTTCAAGTCCCGCTAACACTTCGTTGACCCCCGGAGGCTGCCCAATCCAACGGATTACACCGTAGAAAGGCGGGTTCTCCTTCACTTCTGCCAAGGAACCGGCTTCAAGCCCATGCATATTGATAGGTGCTACCATTGATGGTGGGCTCTCCTGGGTTGGGCCCACGGTCCCCTCGCCAATGACCGATTGAACCGATAACGAAAGAGGGCTGTGCCCAATAGCGTTGTTGCTGCTGGACATTTTTGTAAGGCTGAAAGGCAGGGAATGAAATCTGTTTTCAGCCGATAAGGTATTTGTTGAGGGAGTCTGCAGAGGTGGTGAAGAATGTCCGAACCCTGGAGAGGAGTCATTGAGTGATTTTGCAGAGTCTTCGGCAACTGTAGCAAGAAAATAAACAACACAGAACAAATAAGAAAACGAGAAGAATCCCTGTAATACTTATTAGTACTTGAGCTAATGTTTTGTGCTTTCCACACAAAAGTAGCAAAATATGCATGGAATTTCTCTCCTGAAGCAATTCTATTATGAAAGAATGACCTACTTAAAAAGGATATTGGCACGGGATCAGAAAGAACAAAGCACAAGCAGTTAATAAAGGACAGGCATTCTCTTTATGATCAAAGAACTAAGGCTGCAAGCGTATACGCACTTTAATATTGAGTAAGCCCCATTGGACACAACGAAATCTATTTTCAGGTAAACACACATAAGATAGTGCTCTAAATAATGTGCTTACCCTATATCTATATTCTGATTAAAATGAGTGAACTATGGGGAAGAATAGAGATCACAAAATATCCACCAACGTTGCCCATAAGATAACAAATAATTAAAACCAACATGTAACTGAAATTGCAGCAGTGTGTTGTCAAACTGTGTTCCAAATATTGGTGTTCCTCAAGTAAAAGATCATGATGACAAATAAAAGAATCTGCCTATTCAATTATCTGCACCTGACAAATCCAAATATCAAGAGGAATATGTGGGGCTTGGGAGTATTGTGAACTCCTAGCACAGTGGTTCTCAACCTTCTCAATGCTACAGCCTCTTAATACAGTTCCTCAAGTATTAAATTATTTTAGTTGCTATTTCATAACTATAACTTAGCTACTCTTATAAATAATAATGTAAATATTTGATACGCAGGATGTATTTTCAGTCACTGGACCAAATTTGGCACAAATATCCAATACACCCAAATTTGCATACTGGTGGGGTTGGGGGGATTTTGTCATTTGGGAGTTGTAGTTGCTGAGATTTATAGTTAGCCTACAATCAAAGAGCATTCTGAACTCCACCAACAATGGAATTGAACCAAACTTGGCACACAGAACTCCCATGACCAACAGAAAAGACTGGAAAGCTTTGGACTTGACCTTGGGTTTTCGAGTTGTAGTTCACCTACACCAAGAGAGCACTGTGAACTCAAACAACAAACTGGATCTGGACTAAACTTGGCACAAATACTCAATATGTTCAGATGTGAACACTGGTGGAGTTTGGGGGAAAATAGACCTTGACATTTGGGAGTTGTAGTTGCTGTAGTTGTAGTAAATAAGTAAGTATGAATTGTAATGTAAATATCTGATATGCAGGATGTATTTTCATTCACTGGACCAGATTTATTTATTAATTTACTACTGGCACAAAAACCCGATATGTCCAAATTTGAATACTGATGGGCTTTGGGGGGATTCGATTTTGCCATTTGGGAGTTGAAGTTGCTGGGATTTATAATTTACCTGCAATCAAAGGGCATTCTGAACTCCACCAAAAAAGGGATTGAATCAAACTCTGCACTCAGAACTCCCATAACCATTAGAAAATATTGGAAGGGTTTAGTGGGTATTGAGCTTGAGTTCTGGAGTTGTAGTTCACTTACACCCAAAGAGCACTGTGGACTCAAACAATAATAGATCTGGATCAAACTTGGCACAAATACTCAATATGCTCAAATGCGAAGACTGGTGGATTTTGGGGGAAACAGACCTTGACATTTGGGAGTTGTAGTTACTGGGATTTACAGTTCACCTAAAATCAAAGAGCATTCTGAACCCCACCAATGATAAAATTAAGCCAAACTTCCCACACAGAACCCCCATGACAAACAGAAAATACTGGAGGGATTTGGAAGGAATTGACAGTGTTTTAGAGGGGAGCATGCCTGCTCTCCCCTCCCCACTTGGAGTATCAGAAACAGCCTCCCCTTGGCTGAGAGGCCAGCTGAGAGGTCAGCTAACTGCAGCAGGAGGAGGGCTTTTGGTGGGAGAATTCACTGTCTGTTTCCAAAAAGGAACAGAAGGATAGGCAGAGAGATCTTCAGCCTTCTCTGCCAAAAGAGTTCCTAAGATCATCAGAAATATGGTGAACCCTCTGAAAGCCCCTCGCAACCCTTCAGGGGTCCTGACCCCTAGGTTAAGAAACACTTTCCTGGCAGCTCTAGATAGACTCAGTCAATCCCCTCCGTGAACTCTGGTCTACAACATTCTCCAGAATCCTCTATGTCAAGTGAAGGCTTGATGTAGTAGATGGGCTGTTCAGCAGGCAAGCTGGGTGAAAAGAGTTTTAAAATGATGGAAAATGTGGAGAGCAATACAGTGGGCTCTTTCACACTTGCAGCACTATATTCTACTTTTGACTGCCATGGTTTCTTCCTAAGGAATCTTTTGTTTTGTAGTTTAGTGAGGCACGAGACTTTCTAATAAACCCTTCCCTACAATGCAAATCCCAAATTTTCACTGCATGTTGCCATAGTAGCTGAAGTGAAAACAGCACTACAATTGTGCAATTGAAAGGGCCTAGTAGGCCACCCAACATGGAACTCATATTCAGATGTTTTAAGTAATTTTTTTATCAGTAGTTTAGAATATAGACTCATCAGACTACTCACCAGTCACAATCCAAGACTGGGAGATACTATTTTTGCACTGATGTATGCATTAATGCACTCAGACCTCACAACCTCTGAGAATGCCGGCCATAGATGCAGGCGAAACGTCAGGAGAGAATGCTTCTATAACATGGCCATACAGCCCAAAAACCCAACAACAACCCAGTGATTCCGGTCATGAAAGCCTTTGACAATACACTATGGGCATTTTATGTAAAGGATAAGAATGCACTGAACAGATTACAAACATCTCTTTAACCCACAAGAGTTCTCAAAGCTACCAATAAACAAGGGGAGGCTTAAAACCCAACATGTATCCAGAACCAGTATGTTCATAAAAAATATGGAGAGCTAGAACTGAACATCACAGCTCTAATATAAAGACATCCGCAAGCCAGGATTTAGCTGCAAATAATGTTTGTTCCCTCTAATCGCCATTTGTTAGATTTCAACATTCTATGAAAAGAAGCCCCTGTCACTGCTTCAGCTGATAAAGTCACCAAGTTATTACCTGAAGTTTCATAAATAAACCATGAGTCAAAGCTCAGTGGATGAACTCAGACGCTTCTGCAGTTGTAAGTTGCTATTTATAAGCACCTTACATCCTGTGTCTGCAGTCTAGCTGGTCTAATAGGAACAGTGGGTTCAAACTTCCACAGAATTTCGCCTCAGGACTCCTCCACTCAATTACTGTGCAAGATATGCTAAGTCAAATGCCCTGAGTTATCCGTTCAACATTGGCTGGCATCCAAGGAACCAGCAAACTAGTTCCTTGAGGCCAAGGGGGCTTTGGACATCCATCTCTCCCTCCCTCCTTCCGCCACCATGACAAACTGCTGCTGAAACAGAAGACAATTTTTAAAGCAGCATGTAATATGGCATTGAGTTCAGCTGTTTGAAAGAGGCAGCAAAACAATTCTATTGTGGGGAATAACTACATGGCTAGCATCACATGAATAACAGCTCAGGCAGGATAATACAAGCCTCGTCTCAAGCAGCACCTTTTAGAAGCAATTTTAGCAGCAGTATATATGGAAACCATCATCCTTCTAAAAGGTCAGACTTTTCAATTGTAGGAACATCAATGCATCCAAAAGATTTGAACACAGAATTTCTTCACAGATATTATGCCTATATTGAAATACAGTCTCATTTACCTTCATCAATATACCATGTGTTTTTTGATTTTGTCTGGGGTTGGGAATCAATGGAAGAGCCATTTAAGGTGTAGAAAAATTCTGATCTATTTCTACTTCCAGGGTCCGAGATTGCACCTAAAACACAAGCCACAGCACAAAATAATTAGATAAATAGAAACGATAGATACATAAACACAGAGAGCAAGAGAGAGAAAAACTTTAACAGAAAGTGTTAGAATCCTTTAAGGTAGCCCTTTCCTACGCTAACATGGTGTCCACTGATCTGAAAAGCACCAGTTACTTTAATAATAATAATAATAATAATAATAATAATAATAATAATAATATATTGTATTGACATTCTGCTCTATCTCCCTGAGGGGACTCAGGGCAGATTACAGAACACATATAAAGCAAACATTCAATGCTGTTATGCAATTAACAAGGACACACAGTACATAAACAGAGGTAACAGCTTTCCCATTTCTGGCATCTGGAGGCTGTGCTCAACTCCTACCACGAGGAAGTGCTGTCGTTTCATCTTTCATACAGAGGAGCTTTGTTGTCCATAGATGTCCTCCCGATCGAGACACCAGCATGTCTTTATGTGCTCCTTTTAAAATCCCCCCACTTAAAGCAGTGCTTATTTATCTACTCACATTGATGTTTTTGATCTGCTAGGTGAGCAGAAGCTGGGGCTGACAACAGGAGCCCACCCCAACCTGGGCTTGAACTGCCAACCTTTTGATTGGCAAGATTTTTACAGCTGACAGTTTAACTCGCTGTACTAAGCCCGGCCCCTTGAAAAAAAGATCTTGCTGCTAAGCTTACAAAATAACAGACCCAGAAAAATTCAGAACTATTATAGTAAAATATGGACGGTAATGGAAGAAATAATAGGGAAAGAATTAATGTGGGATAAAGCCAGGTTCATGTCCCTCACCATAAAGGTAAAGAAAGATAACAATAATTGGACAGAAATCCTAAAATATATGACAGCCGCAATACAGGCCATGATAGCTGGGGGATGGAGAGACAATACAAAATGGGATTTGGAAACCTGGTGGACCTATCTATCAAAATATATAATTAAAGATTTTATCAATCAAAGGAAAAACAAGTATATAAATAAACAAATRGAACAAGACTGGTTTAGGAAATGATCTGTGTTAACTGACAAAATWGACGGAGACAACAAATACAGCATTTTGAACCAGGGTTTCCACATGGTTAAATTGATGCAATGACATGATTTAGAATTGCTGTTCCAGGGGGGTGGGGGGAATGGGGGGGGGGGTTGTTGGGTGATACAAACTAAGGAATGTATAGAATGTCATTTAAGGAATATTTACTTTTGGAATAATATATATTGAAATAAGTCCTGCATTSCAACATTTTGTTGATTGTTGGGATGTATCAAATATTTTTTTTWAAAAAAGGAAAAAAACAACAACAAAATAACAGACTCACATAACTGGTCCAATCTCTACAGCAAGACATATTATCCCATACACAAACCTTTAACCCTCATCCACAATTATAGAGCATTTTGCCATGTTTTCACACAATGTTACAACTGAGAAGTTGTAAACAAACAATTTATCCAAATCTCAGCCACTTACCCAAGTACACCATGTTCTTATTACAAAAAAAAAAATCTGGATCAAAAAAAAAAATAAACCCACCCAACCTACTGATTTTGGCTGCTGGTGTCTTTTTTTTCCAACCCAACATAACGTGGTGGAATAAAACTTGTCCTATAACATCTTTGGAAAATGCCATGTCTGCAATACATGGCATGAAACAAAAGCAATAGCTGTATCTGCCAGAAAATTTGATCCCATGAAGGGTGGGAACTGAATTTTTTTCCATTCATGGGACACTAGAATTCATAAAGATCAGGAAACAGCTCACAACAAAAATATATGCTGTGTTTTATTTGATCCATTTTAATTACAAGCTTCACAGGCAGTACTTTTCATAAAGCAAAACTGCATCAATCAATTGTAGCTTTGAAACTTTCTCCTCTCAGCAGGATTCTATTCCCTGCAACATGCTCAAGATCACAACAAAAAGTCTTCAGAATGATTAGCTGAATGAATTTCCTTGCAAGATATCACACTAGCTAGCAATTGTTCCTCCATGTTTTTTTTTATCTGTTGCAGAACAAACAACACTCTTGTAGAATCACAAAGAACAATGATTGTATTACTGCAACAGCACTTATAAATTACACACCATATACTTGCCAAATGCAACCCTTTGTAAGTTTTATGAACAATACTCTAGTTCAGGCATGGCAAACTTCCTGGTCTGGAGCAAGGTGGGCGGATCGGGAGGGAGGGGGTTCTCCCCAAGCCCCCTCCCTGCCCTTTCCTCTTCTCTTTTGGAGGCAGAAAGTGAAGGAAAGATGGGAAATGTTTGGATCCCAAAAGGATTGGCTTTGGTCATGATGAGATGGAGGACAGGAGAGAAAAAGTGTATCCATGAGATCTTGTATTGCCTACTCTCAATATAGAATCCTAGGATCCTAGAGCTGGAAGGGACCCCCAAGGGCCATGCTGTCCAACCCCCTGCCATGCAGGAAGACACAATCAAAGCACTCCCAATAGAAAGCCTTTGTGGAAAAGCCTCCAGAAAAGGAGACTGCACCAAACTCCCAGGCAGCCTATGCCACTCTCCAGACAGTTCTCCCTTATCTTTTCAGTTGAATCTCTGTCCCTGTCTTTTGGAAACATTATTTCCATACACCCTGGTCTCTAGACCAGCAGAAAGTCAGTTCCCCCCCCGCCCCTCCTCCTCATGGGACATCCTTTTAGATCTTGAAACATGGTTCTCATGTTTCCTCTCAACCATCTGTTTTCCCAACTAAACATTGCACAGGAGGAAAGGAGGAAGGAAAAAGAGAAGGAAGGAAGAGAGGAATAGAAGGATGGATGGAAGGAAAGGTGGATGAGAATAGAGGGATGGAGGAAAGAGAGAAGGAAGGAAAGACAAAAGGGAAGGAAGGAGAAAGGGAGAGAGGGAAGGAGGGAGGAAAGTAAAGGAAGGAGGGAGGAAAGGAAGGAAGAAGGAAAGAGAGGTAAGGAAGGGAAGGAGGATGGAAAGAGAGAAGGAAGGAAAGACAAAAGAGAAAGAAAGGGAGAGAGAGGAGGAGGGAGGGAAGGTAAGGAAGGATGAAGGAAAGGGTGAAAGGGAAGGAAGGAGGGAGGAAGAAAGGGAGGGAAGGAAGGGAAGGAGGAAGGAAAGAGAGAAGGAAGGAAAGACAAAAGGGAGGGAGGGAGAGAAGGAAGGAAGGAAGGAAGGAAGGAAGGAAGGAAGGAAGGAAGGAAGGGAGGGAACGGAAGGAGGGAGGAAAAGGGGAAGGAGGGAAGGAAGGGTGGAAGAGAAGGAGGGAGGGAGAAAGAGGAGAGTAAGGAAGRAAAGAGAGAGGGAAGGAAGAATAGGATGGTGAGAGAGGAGGGCCTAAGAAAGGAGTCCAAAAGGCCACACCTGGCCCTCAGGCCTGGGTTTGTCCCTTCCTGCTCTAGTTTCCAAATCCTGAACTGTATTTCACTCTTGTAGCACCTTAAAATTGTTTAGCTGTTTTAGATGAGAACAGCAGATCTCAACCTGAATGATCTCTATTAATTTCTCGAGCTTTCTCTCTTTCTAGAAAATTGTGTTTCAAGGTAACTAACATCTGACATTTCACTAAAATTGGTTGATTGAAAATACCTTTTGGCTTATTGTGATTGAACCCTTTATCACAACCACCTCGAGAGGTAAAGGCAAGTTTGGGAGCTCTCCTTTCCTGAGACACAGGCTCTAAAATAGAACACAATTGTTATTCACAATATAGGAGTGTATTCACTTCAAAATATTATTAATTCAGTCAAAACAAAAGCAACTATATGAATACAAAATAGCAGTCTTCTTCACAATTGCCATATGGACCAAGTTAGAAGAACTATACACAAACCCCAGTGTCTGCCAAATAGATAATAGCACAGTAAACACCCTCAACGATAAGAACACTTTCGTAATTTAAATTAATACTATGAGAAGACTGCTCCTGAATATTGAAAATCACATCAGTTAACATACTACTTTGACTTTGCTGTATAAATTAAATGGACTGTTTCTGGTCTAGATTTTCTTTCTTTTGAGGTTTCATAGCATATTGTTTTACATGCACTGAAAATAAATGCATTTCAATTGAGTCTGAGTCCCTCTAGTAAGGTAGAGAAGATGGGATATAAAAGTTTTAAATAATAAATAAATTCGTTAGACTACACTTACACAGAAAGATAGTGTGGAAAAGAACATATATACTACATTTCTCTAGAAACAACAACAGCATATTTTCAAACTAAAGTCTTAGAAAAAGATACTGCATTCAAATTTATGTCTATTGTTTTCAACACGGTTTGTAGAGTGTTGTTGTTGTTCATTCGTTCAGTCGTCTCCGACTCTTCGTGACCTCATGGACCAGCCCACGCCAGAGCTCCCTGTCGGCCGTCACCACCCCCAGCTCCTTCAAGGTCAGTCCAGTCACTTCAAGGATGCCATCCATCCATCTTGCCCTTGGTCGGCCCTCTTCCTTTTTCCTTCCACTTCCCCAGCATCATTGTCTTCTCCAAGCTTTCCTGTCTTCTCATGATGTGGCCAAAGTACTTCATCTTTGCCTCTACTATCCTTCCCTCCAGTGAGCAGCTGGGCTTTATTTCCTGAAGTATGGACTGGTTGGATCTTCTTGCGGTCCAAGGCACTCTCAGAACTTTCCTCCAACACCACAGCTCAAAAGCATCGATCTTCCTTCGCTCAGCCTTCCCTAAGGTCCAGCTCTCACATCTGTAGGTTACTACAGGGAATACCATGGCTTTGACTAGGCGGATCTTTGTTGCCAGTCTGATGTCTCTACTCTTTATTATTTTATCGAGACTGGACATTGCTCTCCTCCCAAGAAGTAATGTCCAATCTCGATAAAATAATAAAGAGTAGAGACATCAGACTAGCAACAAAGATCCGCCTAGTCGAGTAACTGCTACTTATCAAACTTTTCAGCTCCAGCTTATCAAGTGGTCTAACAAATAGAAACAAATCTCACACAAAAAAAGATAGTTCACTTTTTATTCTCCAAGACATCCATACATACACATACATATTTATGAAATTGTTTGGCACTGCATATGGTGGTCTCTATGTACTTGACCAAACATAAATCAAGGAACATGAAAGGCACTACAGAGCAATTCAACCAGAGAATTCATCCATAGCAGAGCCCCTGATGAACCAATCTGGACACAGCGTATTATTTGAGAACACAGAAATGCTGGGCCATTCTAATAACTATCATATCAGATTACATAGAGATTACATACATCCACAAGCATGTGAACAATTTCAATAGAAAGGAGGAAACCATGAAAATGAACCAAATATGGCTACCAGTTTTTTTTAAAAAAAAAACTCTAAAATCAGGACAGTAAATTAAGAGCAACATTCAAAAAACAGGGGAATTCCAGACGAGAATCAACCAGGGGCAGCTAACACCTACCAACAAAGGAAGCAATCAGCCAGCTTTTGAAGCTGCAAGGCCATTAAATGCTAATCAAGGTGGCCAACTGCAACATTCACTCTTCCCTCAAGCAGACAAGAGTTCTTTCTCCCACCTAGGACATTCCAGATATATAAACCTCACTTGCCTAGTTTCCAACAGAGCCTTCAATATCTGAGGACGCCTGCCATAGATTTCGGTAAAAATTCAGGAGAGAATGCTTCTGGAAGATGGCCATACTGCCCGAAAACTCACAGCAACCCAGTGATTCCGGCCATGAAAGCCTTTGACAACACTTTTTTTGTATGTGTCAGGAGCAACTTGAGAAACTCCAAGTTGTTATTGGTGTGAGAGAATTGGCCATCTGCAAGGACGTTGCCCAGGGGACACCTGGATGTTTGATGTTCTTACCATCCTGTGGAAGGCTTCTCTCATGACCCCGCATAGAAAGCTAGAGCTGAGATGGAAGCTCACCCTGCTCCCTGGATTCGAACTGGCAACCTGTTGGTCAGCAGTCCTGCCAGCACAAGAGTTTAACCCAGTACACCACCGGGGGCACCTAGGAAGATGCAACTGTTGCCTTGTCCTGTTTGCCAAATTCCCATTGGATTGACAACTGGGAAGGGAATGCTGGAGCAAACAAGTCTGATCAAACAAAGCCGTTCTTACATACAGTATGTTAACATCTCCTGACTCACTCAAGGAAATCTCATCTCTAGGAGGAGGGTTTCAGTGGCACTTCCTACCATTCTCCACCTCTTCTTCCTGATCCTGTTCGGAGTTTGAAGGAACACTCCCCAGAGCCAGGAGCCAAGCCTCCCTTTTCCCTAAACTGATGTGACACAATATTTGTCCCAGAAGACTGTGCCAAAGATTCCAGTTTCTAAGGAAGTGGCACCATGGCCTTTCCATTTGAGACCAGTGACCGCAATCCAGTAGTTTCTACATTATACCACATTCCAGTATATTAAGTAGGTTATTAACCATCTTCCTGCTTCCCAGGGAGAGCAACCGCCTCTGAAACAAGGTTAGTGAAAGCTTCCATAGCCTAGTTACACATGCAACGCAGAGGTGTCTGCATTACAAGAGAGCTGATAAATAGGAGAAAACGGCACTCCAATAACAAGTAACAGATTGCCTGCAGTATTCACAAATGCCAATTCCTTTATCAGAGCATATGTGGGCATCATTTGAACATATTCCTTTCGAAGAAAGTGTAAGAAAACAATTCAGTGCACAGTGCCCTCCTTATTAAAGCAAATACGAAATATTTAGAAGCAACATGTGTTGTTCCTCATGATGTGCTTCATAATATTCTCAAGCTTGCAATTAAACATAACCTGGAGAGGTGGTGATAAAAATGTTTCCCCACATCTCGCACCCGATGATATCTTTCTTCATTACCCCACACACTGCAATGATACAGCAGTGCAATTCCTCATCCTAGGAAACATAGTATTCCATTCCATTACCCTAAACCAGAGGTCCTCAAACTAAGGCCCGGGGGCTGGATATGGCCTTCCAAGGTCATTTACCCGGCACTCACTCAAGGTCAACCTAAGTCTGAAACAACTTGAAAGCACACAACAACAACAATCCTATCTCATCAGCCAAAAGCAGGCCCACACTTCCCATTGAAATACTAATAAGTTTATATTTGTTAAAATTGTTCTTCATTTTAATTATTGTATGTTTTTAAGTGTTTTTTGCACTACAAATAAGATATGTGCAGTGTGCATAGGAATTCATTCATGTGTTTTTCAAATTCCAATCTGGCCCTCTAACAGTATGAGGGACTGTGGATCTTTTTATGTGTGTTAGTGAGGGTTTAGGGCAGGGATCCACAAACCTTTTAAACAGACGGCCACGTGGCCGTCTGTTTAAAAAGTTTGTGGACCCCTGCCCTAAACCCTCACTAACACACATAAAAAGATCCAATAAGACCCACAAATCTGTAAAACAGCACCTTGCTAGTGGTGGCAAGACACGGTGAGTTGGGAAAGGAAGAAATTGTATTCACAAAGCCATGAAGCCTGAAGAGTCTGAATAACATTTCCAGAAAATTAAAGAGTTAACAGAATGAGACAGGACAGGAATGCAATCCTACAGAATAACAAAGAAAATCAACGGAACAATGAAATATATTTAACAACTGAAAGAGAATGAAATATGCCACATCAACACTAGAATTAAATGCCTAAGAATTAAGGCTTAATATGTATGTCTATGTGTGTATATATGCAATATAAAAAGCATACCTGTGATAACATCATTGATATGCAAGAGAAGTGTGCTTTCAACACTTGCAAAACTACACAGCTGTTGTCCATTGTATCTTCCATCCCAATTTCCAATTGGATTATCCTAAAAACCATTTTAAAACACTGTTACGTGTGTCCCATGAAGACTTTCAATCAAGTATCTCCTATAAGACTTTCAATCCAGATAATAGCTACATGCAAACCAGACAGATTCACAAGCTTTCACAAGAAATGCCAAGACTCGTTCTGCTATGGCATTTCAGGTACACTTGTAACTTCATTCCATCTTTTTACATTTCAAGAAACGAAATGTATTCTGCAATATTGTTTGTTTTTAGATGATCCACATACATTCATACGCTGAAGGCTGCGACATTTAAAAAACTGCCCAAGTGATGGGAGGAAAGCCAAGCAAAATTGGTCAGCAACACATAAGTTCCACAACTAAAGCTTTTCACAACAGAGATATGAATGGCTTTCATGCTTTCTTGTATTTTTTACCATTCTGTTATTACAGCTTCCAACGCTCAACAGACATGCCTGTTTCTTTAATGAATAGTAAAAGTAAAAAAAAAAATACATCCATATATATTCAAGAGTGCAAAATAGGGATTTTTTTGCCATGTTGAATGCCTAGCAATATTCTAAGAATAGCAATTCTGCTTCAATTATTTTTGATTTCCAAGTCCTACTAGGGCCCTTCTAATTACAAAACACAGATGAAAAGCAGCATATGCTACTAATTTGATTTAGAGAAGTGCACCTTTAGAGCCTAAATATCAATTTACATTTTCAAAAAAAAAAATCTTCATATTCTTCAAGCAGGCAGAAACAGTCAATATACCGTACTTTTTCCAAAGAGCTGAAAATAATCAGTAGAACCAACCTTGAACCACGATAAAGTTGGCTGGTCAGCAGAACTAATCAATACAAAATATTTTGCCTGGTCAGTTTCAGTCACATTTTAACGTTACATTAAATGAGCCCACAAAAATTACAAGTGGGATCAAATGTAATCAACCAATAAACGCTAATAATAAATAAATATACAAGCTTTCCTGCCCACATGACCAAATGAAAGATGGATTACATTTTCTCAAAAGCTGCTGCCCCGCTTGATCCCTTGAAGGAGACTCTCTACAATTTGGCAAGTGTTTCTTTCCAAACACAACTCATTCATTTTTATCTAATGCTAAACAAAGCTGCTGGGTGGCAACTGCATATGGCAAAAAGAGTCACAAGTCGCTTGCAAATATCCATCCCACCAATATTGCATGTACTTCTAATTTAAACACACATGCAAAAAAGTTTTAAGAATCAGGTGAGTTTCTTACCATGTCCACTCCAACAACGTATCCTAAACTCTCGTTTCCTGGTAAGACATCACAGAATATAACTGTCCCATACTCTATATTCTTCCCTATCTTCACAGAAACCCTGGAGTTGAGCTCCAAAGGAGGAAGGTCTACCTGCATTGAGTCAATTGGAGCTGCATAGTCATTCTCCAATTCATTGTCATCATCTTCCATCAGCTCTAGTTTGTCTAGTGCAACAAACACTCCACAGTCCTCATCACATCTGAACAGCTGTTTGCCTTGGTACTGTCCATCAGTAAATCCCTGACCACGACCTTCTTCCTAGATTTTCAGAAGAAATACATAATTTATTGAAGTATCATCATAAGTAATTAGAATGCTGCACTTACAAGTTGAAAACCCTGCTCAGGAATAAAGCCCGTTGGGGGTGCAGCTACAATGTAGAATTGATGCAGCTTGACTCCACATTTAAATTTTATCGTTCAATACTATGGAATCATGCGAGTTGTTTTGCAAGGTCTTTAGTTTTCTCTGCCAATGAAGGTTGATGTTTCCCTAAACGACAACTCCCAGGATTCCACAGCATTGTGCCATTGCACTTAAAGTGGTGTCAAATTACATTAATTCTAGATTGTGAATGCAGACTGGGTGATCTTTGGAAAATCACTCCTGCTCATAGGCAGGCTGTAAGCACAAATATACTATCCAAGGTTCATATCTGATGACTTTTCTTTGCCCCATCTCAAACATGCGAATGTTAACATTATATGACCATTCCGTTGGTAATCAGCACCAACTGCTCTAATTACAGTGATCAGCTCCCAATTGGTTAAATCAAGCACAGGATTGCTGATCCCCAGCCCAATTTACCTGTCTGAATGCATCTCCCTCTATGAACCAACACAGAGATTAAGATCCCCGAGGGAGGCCCTGATCTCCGTCCCACCACTGTCACTGGCGCAATTGGCAGGGACAGGGCCTTCCAAGTGATTGCGCCTCAGCTATGGAACTCCCTTCCTGGTGAGATTAGATGGGCTCCCTCTCCCTCCCTCCTGTCCTTCAGAAGGATGGTAAAAACTTGGCAGTGGGATCAGGCTTTTTGGACAGTTCAATAAAGTAGCAATAGGAACCCTTACCATGCCAAGTAGATTCAATGCGGTTGATCAAATCAGTTTAAGCAGTGGATTTTAATACTGAGATGATTTTTTTAATGTTTACGTATGCATATAATTTATTTATGTCCTGGCATTGAATGTTTACCATTTGTATGTTGTGCTCCGCCCTGAGTCCCTTCTGGGGTGAGAAGGGTGGAATATAAATGTTTTAAATAAACAAATTGTTCCCTCCTCCACCTTTTGAAAGACAGATTTATCTGCAAGGCACATCAGGACTATGCTTAGCAGAGCTGGTCCCCATAACTACCAGTTCTTGCTTGTTAGAAATTTCTGAGATTTGTTTCAGAAAGGCATCATCTGCCACCTCTTCTTGGTTCAGTAGCCTGTAGTAAACTCCCACTACAATGTTGTTTTTTTCTCAAATTATTTTTACCCAAGTGCTCTCAACATGGATTTCTGTGTAAGTGAATGTCTTTGACATATAATCATACGCCCCCTCCTTTTCTGCCACATCTATTCTTTCTGAATAGGTTACACAGGATTCAAATGTACCCTGAAGCCACATGTACCATCTTAAGCTACATATAAGCAGAAGATGAAATGGATTCAACAAATGAAAGACCCTTTTTCATCTTTCCAGAATGTTTGTGCAACCATACACAAAATCTGTTTGTTTCATTGCCTACGGTCTTTGCACAAATAAAGAAAGAAAGCTTACCAAAAGCTCCACTCCAAAGAATATCCCCGACAGCGATCTCTCTTGTATCAAGGGTCCTCTGAAACGAACAACTCCAGGATATTTTTCATCTCCTGACCTCAGCTGTACTCTTACAGGTGAGCCAACTTCAATATGAAGGCCCTTACTCAGTCTAGCCTTGCTTTTAAATATACTGTATCTTTCTTCACAATTTGTAATTGCCAACAGCAGCTCTGCCCGCTTCTCGTCGATTTCAACAACTTCTTTCTCGTCCACAAGCAGAATGGCATGGGGTTGCTCCAAAATCTTGATTCCTATTTGCAATTTTTTGCTTTTGGATGAAGGGTTGCTTCTGGTATGTCCTCCTGAAGACCGGTCTTGAACAAACTGGCCAATGCTACCCTTGGGTACTTTCAATAACTTTTGAGTCTGTTTGTCTATAATGCTACATTCTTGGAGAAGCAAGTAAAATATACGGTCTTCCCAATAGGGAGAGCTGCCTTTGTCTTGACTCCACGAACTCATTGTGGTTTCAACTTTCTACAAGTACAAAGAATAGCTAAATTTCCATAATAACCGGAAAGGGATTGTAAGATTCCACTACAAGGCCCCAGCTCCAAGAATGAGTTAATGATTCTTCATCCATGTCCTCCTGAGCTAAATCCAGAACAGATGACCTGGAGCACAAAAATAAAAGATGGTATCACTGGAAGCTGAAGGACCTTATAATAAAAGCAAAGCACAAGAAAAGAAGCTACTTTTGAGAGCAAACATCATCACTCATTTTTATAGATCTATGACAGTAACCTGCTGACAAGAAAGAAAACACTTTGAGGCAGCCTCAAAGGTCATCGTGAAGATTTTCTCTGCACAATAAAATGGACTTACTGCTGTATTGTGGATTTCTCACCAATATTGCTGTTTTTAATGGCTATAATACCACAAAGGTCTAATCTTCATTTACATTTTGAACAGCTACTTTTGATCTATAAAGAAGAAATGTTCCCCCATCTTACAAAAGAGGAACAAAACCAAATATCTAGGAATTGCTTTTTGAAAAGAAAAGACAGACAAGTGAAAACCAGTTGTACTGTAAACCTACAGATGCTTATAAAATTGTCTATTTTTACACACAAAAACATGACATTTGTATAGCAATGTGATCAAATGAAAACAACAAGAAAACTTAGTAAATCAGCAAGTAATTGTTTCTCAAAAAGTTAGCCTGCCTGCAATAAATGATAAGCTGACATGTATATTAAAAGTTAAAAAATGTATATGGAAACAAAGTGATTTTGATGTTGTATGGGTTAAATTTGTTGTAAATGGTTTAAAAAATAAAGAAGGAAGTTTACCGCCACAAGAAGAAATGAGATTTTGGACAGATGGTATGTAAAAGTTGTGGCTTGAAATGGGGGAGGGGGGGGGGAGCACAGTGGTGGGGAAACAAAGGGGGAATAAAATGCTTAAGCAGAAGAATAAGATTATATGTTAAAGAGGGTGTTGAATAATATGTAACTGCTATAAACAAATGTATAATAAATGTAATAATTATGATAAAGTAATAAAAAATATTTTTTTTAAAAAAAGTTAGCCTGCCTCTGTCCTAGAAGGACATAAGAGAATTCATAAATGATATTGAGCTTAGACAAGTTTTATAAAGTAGATAAATCTATCAACATGTTTTGCCATGACAAAAAAGATAGGCCAGAAGCATACCACTGATGAATGGATTCTGGGAACAAAATATGGAGAAAGACCATTGCTTATAAACTCTGCTTTGTAGGTTTTCCAAAAACATTTGGGCAGCAACAAAGTAACTCTTGTACTTGAATCAATATGAGGGGAAAGCGAATAACATCCATCTTAGTATATATATATCTCTCTTGTCACTCTCACAACAAAGGGACTGTCTTATAAAATGTATGTTAGGACATTGGTCCATCTAGCTCAGTACTACCTATATACCAAATGTCAGTCATTCTATCCCAGGCATGGGTAAACTTTCTAATTGGGGGTCACATGGTGGGCCAGAGTGGGGTGTAGGTGCTGGGAGGGGTGGGTTTTCCCAAAGTTCCCTCCTTGCCCTTTCCTCCCCTTCCTTTTCTCTTTCAGAGGCACAAAACTGAAGGTAAGATAGGAAATGTTTGGATCCCAAAAAGAGTTGGTCTTGGTCAGGATGAGACAGTTGATGGGAGAGAAAAGGTGTATCCATTAGATCTCATACAGAGTACTCCTGATGTACAATCCTAGAATCCAAGAGTTGGAAGAGACCCCCAACAGCCATCCACAATTAAGGGCCATCCATGCAGGGAGGCACAATCAAAGACAGCCTCTGCAGAAAAGCCTCCAGAGAAGAAGACTCCACCACACTCCAAGGTAGCCTATGCCACTCTCTAGATAGTTCTTTCTAATCTTTTCAGTCAAATCCATTTCCCTATCATTTGAAACAATTGCCTTCTTGTGTCCTGGTCTCTGGAGCAGCAGAAAGTCAGCTTTCCCCCTCTTCCTCAATGGGACAATCTCAATGGTTCTCATGTTACCTCTCTACCTTCTCCGAGCTAAACATCTCCAAGGAGGAAAGGAGGAAGGAAAAAGAGAAGGGGGGGGGGAGCAAGAGAAGGGTGGRCGGGAATAGAGGGATGGAGGAAAGGAAGAGAGAAGAAAGGGAAGATAAAAGGGAAGGAARGAGAAAGAAAAAAGAGAAGGAGAGAGGAGGAAAAGGAAGGGTGGAAGGTAAGGGGGGAGGAAAGAGGGAAGGAAGGAAAGGATGGTGAGAGAGAGAGAGAGGAGATTCCTGAGAAAAGAGCCCAAGGGGTCGCATTCGGCCCCCAGGACTGGGTTTGTCCATACCTGCTCTATACCAATCTCCTTAAGGACAGCAAAAATGAATATATATATATATATATATATATATATATATATATATATATGAGCACAGAAAATGTGAATTCAACCACTCAACTATGGACGCTTCTCTCTTTTTCTTTTCTTGCTTTGAGTTGTCCTCAATGGTACAAAGGAAGGGATTATTAACTTAGATGAGTATATTAGTCTGCTATTATCTCTTTCTCTTCCTTCTTATCTTGGCAGGATATTAATATATTGGAAAAGTCAACAACTATAAACAGAAAGAAGTAGTTGAAAACCCTAGGTACAGCTAGGAGGAAGGAGGGAAGGAAAGAATAAGGGATTTTTCATCAGATGCTTTTCATCATTATTAGGTGTTTTTCTTACTAGGAAATTTAGTAGACCAAGTACAATTTTAGCATTTAAAACTGGGGTGAAATTAACCCAACTGGCATCTATCTGTGCAGATTCATAAAATAATCTTCCAGAACTTGATAATTATTGTGGTATAACCCTCTGGTTTGTGTTATATATATACCCTGTCCTTCCTAGAAAGAGGTCCAAAAAGCATTTATGATTCCCCCCTCCCACCTCACATTTTCTCTCAACAACAACCCTGCATGATAGATTAGGACAAGAGATAGTAACTGACCCAATATGAACTCAGAGGCTTCGTAGGTACTGTAAGTGGAAACTGGACATCTTTCGACATTATGAACCATTAGAAATGACTGTCTTGTGGAGAGTACATAATTACTTCATTTAAAGTATACACATCTATAAGCCTGCAGCAAGAAACAGATTAGAAACAGCAAGTCAAATGTTTGTTGAACTGAAGCAAAGTATGGTATGTGACTCTTTCACATATAGTCACAAAACAGGCACAATTGCATCTTGCAGTAACAGCAACTGGTCACAACACAATAGCAAAATTTGTAAGACAGTAGAATCAGTTAGTACTGTTAGGGATTTTCTACCCCTAATTAATTTCACTATGTTTCAAGCCCTTCATTAGCAATCTCCTCACAATAACCCTTCACATACATGACAAAATGACTTTTAGTCCACAAAAACTCCTGACATAACAAATATTCAATACAATAATTGCTCTTAATAATTCCATTAAACATACTTCAGAGTAGACATGCACAGTATTTTGCGCTATACTGAACCATCAATGCCAGATGACAGAAGGTCCAATTTTTCCTAAATTAGACAATCACAACTATTCCTTTGAAATAATCTCATAGTTATGCATAATTAAATCTCATAATTATGCATAATTAAGTCAGTGAAAAATGCAATACAACAGAAAGGTGAATGAAGCACAGGTAACATGATAAAATAAAAATAATAAACGTATTAAAAATAAAAATATTACTTTTTATAAAGCATCTTCTACAGAATTCAATAAGTAACAATCCCACTATACTATATAGAAATCTCAAAATGGCAAAATTGAATTTAGTTAAATAAAAATGAATAAAAACCCAAATGTAATCCCAGGAAACCACATGTAACAGACATTTTATTTTTTTAATAATTCCATTAAACATACTTCAGAGTAGACATGCACAGTATTGCGCTATACTGAACCAAAGCATTTCTTAAAATATGGACCTAAGAGTCTCCTATATTCCTACAAGAAGACTCTTATATTCCTACAAGAAGGTTAAGATACCTGCCCTACTGTGTTTTGTTGTTGTGTGCCATCAGGTCATTTGTGACCTATGACAATCCTAAAGTGACCCTATGACAATATTACCATGGGTTAAAGAGGGTTTGCTTTGCCCTCCACTGAGGCTGAGAAAGCTTGACTTCCCAAAGGAGACCCATTGGGGGCCCTTCTACACAGCCTTATATCTTAGAATATCAAGGCAGAAAATCCCACATTATCTGAGTGTGGAGTCAGATAACCCAGTTCAAAGCGGATATTGTGGGATTTTCTGCCTTGATATTCTGGGATATAGGGCTGTGTGTAAGGGCCCCGAGTTTCCATGGTCAATCAGGGATTCGAACCCTACCTCCAGAGTCATAGTCTATGCACAAACCACTATATTATGCTAGCACCCAAGGCCCTTACAATCAACAAAAAATAACCTGAAAGGAAAGTGAAAGAAGGGATGGGCAAGTAGTTAAAAGTGTACCCTCACCAATAAGGAAGTTAACTTCAAAAAATCACATCAGGTTCAAGTTCTACTTTTTTACTGGAAAGGTTATATCCATTATGTTAGTATTGGCCCACCTCTGTAATCAGGTACAGTCATTTTGAGTACTGATGTATTTTTTTCCTGGGAAATTAGCTATTCCTGATAATTCGGTGTCATCTGCACATTCAATAAGCATGCCATCTATTCAAGTCATTGATAAAAATGCTGAATAGTACTGGCCTCAGCACAAAACTGACTAGTCACTTTGTTTTCTGCTGCTCTAGAGACTATTGGACACAGAACAATGAATTCAAACTGTAGAAAAAGATATCCCAGCTAAGCATTAGGAACAAATTCCTGGTGGTATGATCTGTTGGACAGTGGAATATGCTGCTGCCTTGGGAGTCAGGTGGAATCTCCTTCTCTGGAGGTTTTTAAAGAGAGGCTGGATGGGAGTGCTTTGGTTTTGTATGTCTTCAGGGCAGAATAGGGTTGAATTGGATGATTGCTGCAGTCTCTTATTCTAGACTATTATTGTACACTATTATTCTAGACCAGTGGTTCCCAAACTTTGATCCTCCAGTTGTTTTGGGCTGCAGCGCCCGGAAGCCCTAACTAGTTTGGCAAACCATTGGAAACTCTGGAAGCTGATCCAAAGTTTGGAAACCACTGTTCTAGACACTTTAATTGAATGGCATTTACTTACATTGATTCATTGGGCCTATTCTAATAAGTGACCCTTCCAACCTTTGCAGACATTCGGCTGTCTAATTTGCTATCTTGCTATCTTGTGCCTCAAAGACCTTGGAGAACTAATGCCAACTTTGAGTTGAATCTATAATGGGGTTTTCTTGGCTAAATGTGTTCAGGAGTAGCTTGCTATTACCTTTTTCTGAGGCTGAGGAAGTGCAACTTGTCCAAGGCCACCCAACACGTTCCATGGCTGAGCCAGGATACAAACCCTGATGACACACACACAACCACTACACTACATTGCATTTACCCTAAAGAAACCATCAGTATTATTATCATCATCACCATCAGCATCTAGGACAGTGGTTTCTTTGGCCATGCCCTACCTAAGCATCTCTAAAATAGTGATGCCTGCCCCTATGGCGTATAATTCTGATAATTCAAAAAGTGAACTATTTATTCTTATGGAGGAAGCCTAAAAAAGCCATTAACTTGGTCTAAAGAAGTTTCCAAAGAACATGGCATCCATGAAAGAGAAAAATATGATAACAAATGGATTTAAAGTCCCTTCTACACTGACATATAAAATCCATATTACCTAGTTTGATAATCTGGATTATATGGCAGTGCAGAAAGGGTCTAAATAATCTGCATCAAATCCAGGGTCATTTAAGTGTCCAACTTCATTGGTGAAACTGCAAGAATATCCTGTCAGCTGACATTAATTTTCTTGTGGCTGATCATCTTTTTTTTTAAAAAAAGTGTATGCCACAATATTTATGTATGCTGTATGAGACCCCTAGAACCATAAGAAATGTAGATAATTTCCTGTTAACAGCTCATTCTTGAATTGCCCCCTTGGAACCAGAGATGTAGGAGTAAAGGGGAAAATAAATCCAATACATTATTAAATAACAGCCCACCTTTCTCTCAGACTTTCACAGTATTCCACCTGTATTATCAACATCTGAAAAAAGGCAGGATATAAATCCAATAAATTAAGAATATTCCTCCTTTCTCCCCAAACTGGAACTCAAATAATCCCACATTTGAACAGTATTTCACCAGCAGCATCAACATCTAGGAGAATAAGTTACTAAATAATATCGCATTTTCTCCAAAATTGGGCCTCAAAATGGCCCAAAATTTAACCATATTTCACCAGTACCTGGAAGCAAGATGGGGTATAAATCTGGAAAATTAGTAAATGACATCCCACCTTTCTTCCCAAAACTAGGACTTAAAGCAGCCTACGATTTAAGAATACATTAAAAAAAATGTCAAAATACGATTACAATTCAGAGGTGAACAAAATAATAAAAATGCCAATTAAAAAGGAATTGTTTAAAATTACATATATTAAAGCAACTCCAAGGTGAACAAAATAAATGCAATTTTAAGAGATGTCAATTTTTAAAATATTACATATATTAAAACAAGTGAAATGTTGTTTTCGTATATTATATTGCCTTAATATACTAGAATATACAGGGTGAGGCAGCATAACTTCCTTTTTTAAAATGCGCGCCATTCAGTCGGTTGAGGACATAGCGGAGCGCTAGTGGTCTCGTTCGAGAGGCGGGAGTATAAGTTTTGTCCTAACACAGTTCAGCCGCCATCATGCGTTGGAACAGTGAGGAGCGTGCTTTTACCGTTGAGGCCTACTTTTCGAGCAGATTTGGAGTGGCCGGCCCGCTCTCCAGATTTGGCCCCTTGTAATTTTTTTCTATGGGTTTTTTTGAAATCTCGTGTTTATGTGAACTGTCCAAGGACCCTACAAGATTTGAAGACCAACATCCAGGAAGAAATTGCCAACATAATGCCTGCTATGCTGGCAAGAGTCATGACAAACAGCAGAAATCAGTTTACTCAGTGTATGAAGAATCGAGAATGGGGGATGTCACCTACTTAATTTTATCTTCAAAACTACGTGAAACAAAACTTTAGGTATGCACCTACATTATAAAAAAAATTAAAAAATTCTGATTCATACAATGGGTTTTATTAAGTTTTGAAAAAAGGAAGTTATGCTGCCTCACCCTGTACATTATTTTTAACAAACTGCATATATTAACGCAACTGAGGGGAATAAAATATAAAAGTACCAATTTTTAAGAAATTATACATATCAAAGCAACTAAGAGGTTAATTTAATATACTATAACAAGTATTATATTTTATATATATTATTATAAGATAATATCATAATATACTAAATTATAAGATATTATAATATACATTATTTTTAATAAATGACATATATTAAAGCAACTGTTGAATAAAACACAATATAAAAGTACCTATTTTTAAGAAATGACACATATCAAAGCAACTAAGGGGTTCATTTAATATACTATAACAAGTATTATATATATATTATGATATATATTTTATACATTACTATATATTTTAGGATTATATCATAATACTATAACAAGTCTTATATTATATATATATATTATATTATAAGATAATATCATAATATACTAAATTATAAGATTATATTATAATATAAATTATTTTAATAAATGGCATATATTAAAGAAGCTGATGGATAAAACATAATATAAAAGTACCTATTTTTAAGAAATGACACATATCAAAGCAACTAAGAGGTTCATTTAATATATAATAACAAGCATTACATATAATATTTATTATATATATATATCATATAATATGATATATATATATATTATAAGATTATATTATAATGTACATTATTTTTAATAAATGACACACATCAAAGCAACTAAGAGGTTCATTAAATATACTATAACAAGTATTATATATAACATTATATATACTATATATTATAAGATTATATCGTATTATATTATATTATGAGATTATAATATACATTATTTTTAAGAAATGACGTATAGTAAAGCAACTGTGATGAATAAAAGACAA